GCAAAGCGAAAAATTCTTTTATGTCTTCGTGCTCTCAGCTTGATCATCGCAAGTCAAACTTGGTTTTCCTTGCAAGAAATGAACAGAATTACAATATTAATTTCATTTTTGGGTGTCAAAGAAGCTTATCCAAATGAATCAAATTACAGCTGCGGGCAAATCAACGATTCAACGCCGCATGATGGGATCAGCTTCGCAGTTTCAGCAATATGCGCAGTACTACAACTTTTGAATACGGTGGAACTCCATTACAATTAACGAATCTTATTAATTTTCATGATGAATTTTTAATAATAAGAAACATTTTGTTATGCAGCAGTTTCCTCTGAGGAACTGCATGTTATGCAAATCAAATCTTGATTTAACAACCTCGTTTTCACTGGTAATCTCCGGGTAACAAATAATGGTTGCTCTGAGTACGGTAAATAATATGCATTGGCCATAGATATTATCTGATGCTTGGCAGAAACACGGAAAAATCTCACTCTTGCAACGACACAAGCTTTATAAAAATAATGCTTTTTGAAAAGGTAGAACAGTTTTGCTGAAAGTGATGCTCTTCTCAGAATTTATCCACCTGTACTTCAGAATTTAGCAACGGCTCCTTTCTTTCGAATAAACTGTATTCTGGAAAGAATTTTCATCTATCTTGTAGAAAATACACGTGTGAAGAACGGTAATAAGTTACTTCGAAGGGTAGTACTTGTCACACATCTACATCGTTTCATTTTATTTTATCAGAAAATTTGTAAGAAATTCGAAGCAGACAGGTTCAATGTAAAAGAAACGAATGACAAAATGCGTCGCTTTGATTCAATCACGAAGTCAGATATGATGACTAGTCTTGCATTATATGTCGTAGATACAATTTACAGCATACCGGTACCGTATATTACTTTTCCCACAAAACCTGTCAAACAAATGTCTTCAAAACTTCTAAATATTTTGTAAAAAAAAAAAGTTCCCAGGTCCCTGAAGAGAGTTTGTCGTAAGGAGATGCTACAGTACTGCATGCAGAGAAATGATTCAGAAAAAATCACCAGATAAACAATTATAATAAATAGAGGCTTCAAAAATATACAAAAATACATGAGTGAATTACTAAACTAAATCCTGTGGTACTGTATAGTACAGTATTGCGAAGAAATATTACTGTATTTGGTTTCCTATTTTTCAAGTTTCAAAACGTTATTAAGATCAACTCGGACCCACAGCAGATCAATCAATTCTCTGGTTTTAAACTACTGTACTGTCAGAATCTGAAATTCGAGATCCACTCTTGAATTAACTTGGTAATTATCTCCTTTCAGACCCCATTCCGCGGAAAATTACGACTAAATGCTTGATGGAAGAAAGTTGATCCCGTATGCGAACTATCCAAAAGGTGGACTTCACACCAAATCGGATTGAGTCCAGTTGTCGAGGCAATGTTGCAATTAAAATATTCTAAATTAATATACTGCAACAGTTGAAACGTTCTCAATGCAGGAGAGGGAAAAAATCTCTCAGCAGAAGAGCATGAAACACTCAACTGTGTCTCATGTCACTCGAGCAAGCCAATAAGTAAAATATTTTGACAGCATGACAGGAGTGCAGCATACGACAAGGCCAAAAAAAGCATTCAACTTCGTCTCATAACCTGTTCACTAGGTCAGCGAAATACAGTACTGTACTATGCAGCAATGCCAGCATCAAATAAAAAAGTATCATCACGTGTATCCACTTGAAATTGGTGCACGGATTTTTCTTAGACAGATTTTTGTATCTAGCGACTTTCGCTGGGTAGTAGGGTACCATCTCTCCTCATGCAGAAGATATTGTACTGAACATTCTATGCCTGAATATATTTCTGCCGCTGACAAAACCAGCAAGGCGTCGAAAGTCTGACATAAAAAAAGATGAAAGTAATCTCTCTCTGACACACACACAAATGCTTCCAAAAATCCTGACGTTCATGGGCAACTTCTATAAGTCGATGAACCTATACGACGCATGCAGATGCAAGTTTTTCAAAATTATTCGATGATAGTCGTTCCCGATTTAGGACGAAAACTAATCTCAAGATTTAAAAAAATATGCCGCAGAGGCGGCTTAAAAATTCAGCCATAACAAAATCGCTGCTGGTTGAATTCCGACGAAGAAAAAATTCCAGAACATTCCTTCTTAATCGCTGATAACCTGTAAAATAGCCTGATCGCCGTCATCCCTTTCTCTTCCCATCAAGGCAAGAATATTTATTGTATAAACGCTCGCCGAACAAGAATAAAAATTGATTTCAAGTATCACCTACTAAAGTAAGCGGGAACAAGAAAAAATAGAAAGAAGTTTCCCAGGCTAAACGAGATATATACATTAAACCGGAATATTCAAATCCCGAGCGCAGAAATAATCATAAAGCTTATCAGCTTCCTGCAGCAGTTGAGTTTCTTAAACTATCGCTCTCAATCCGTATAACGCGGAAATCGGGAGTTGAAATCGATTTCTCATGCTTTCCTTTTCATCATCCAAACAAACCTGGAAAATCTCGCCCAGTTTCCAGCCAGCGCAGAAAGAAATTGAAATCCAAATAAGCAAAATTTCCGGAGGAATAGACTTATTCATTTCATTCTGTTCGTTTCATTTCTTAATATTCGATCATGTTTTCAAACAATATAATGCGGCGGAAAAATTCTTAGACAAAAAATACATTTCTTTCGAGGACGATGATTGATTTGGAGATAGTTAACATTATTATCTCCACAATAATCGAAAATGTTTGAAACGCGGCCCATTTTACAGCAAGGAACTGCCGATTTTCCACGAACAATCCATCAATTAAACTATTCCATCAATCTGGAAAAAATCGACTACAGTACTGTACATGAAACTACAGCAGTTCGAAAACAAAGCCTGCCAATTCTCCGTGAACATTTAAAAATATTTTGCTAATCTGAAAATCGACCAACATGTGAAACTAGTTCGAGCTGGACTATTCTGTGCGGCCTATCCTAAAATATCAAAATTTTCGAGAAAAAATTGCGGCCAATGTAATCGCCCAAGTACTGCAAAGTGTCAGTCTGAGAAAAATTGTCAGAAGGACTGTTCAGCACCGACTGCAGCAGAATAACAGTTTTTTTTCTCTCTCTCTCCATGAAATACCAAGTTCAGCCTTTCGGGCATTCCAATTACATTTCGTTGACACAACGGTATAGGGAATGAGACACGAGAAAATAACCAGGAAACGCAGAATTGGCTGTGAGAGGAAATCGCATGCAATAAAAAAGCGTCCCTCTTCCCCATAGTTGAATAGAAAAGCAGTTATTTTTGGGACCTCCTCCTTTCATCGTATTCGCTTCCCCTCGCGTTCTGCTGTACTCCCAAAAATAATGAGATTTTCCCTCGCCATTTCGCAGGGAGGGAACCGTGTATTGCGAAGAAGTACCTTAATGGATTGAGGATTGTAATTCAGCATAAAACGAAGGAGCACTGAAGCGAGACATCGCGGACGCATACTCCACTTCCCAGTGCTGCGCTCCGCATTGCATTTTGGACACATGGTTGCCGAAATTTTCCACACCGCAATTCTGCCGTTGCAAAATGCTTCATCAACCATAATTTTTTCCGAACTAGTAATCGCGCTCAAAGCCGAACCTCACAATCAAACTTCAAATAAGTCCATAAAAATAATAAACAAAAACTCCTTCTAACTTGCGAATTTACGGAGGCTCTTGCATGTTCAGTATTCGTTGCCGAGGTCATGGGCAATTACCTTCACGATCATTCGTGCAGGGAATCCTTTGGGTGAAATAAAATGCTTTGTATGGAGTTAAGAATTTATATCAATTTTTGTGGACATAACTGAAAATGAGGAGGAAGATTCTGGCACCGATATATTTTTATGATGGCAACCGCTATAGTAGTTCGAAAAACAAAGCCTGCCAATTCTCCGCGAACATTCTAAAATAGTTTGCTAATCTGAAAATCGACTAACATGTGAAACTAGTTCGAGCTGGACTACAGTATTCTGTGCGGCCTATCCTCAAATATCAAATTTTCGAGAAAAAATTGCTGTCAATGTAATCGCCCAAGTACTGTACAGTGTCAGTATGAGAAAAAATTGTCATGATGCATCGGAATCTGATAATTCAAACCTCCCAAAATTGAATATTTTTCAAGTCACTCCCTAAATTACCCTGGAAACAATGCATTAAAAACCTCCCTAACTTGAAGGCTTTCCCCTTCAAAACTCCGAAGTCGAATTTTTCTTAGACCGTTTTAGTGTCTCATTGACACAGGGAAGAGGAAAGCAATACAAATCTAACTTACATTTGGAAGGATGGGAAAGTCTAATTCAGCAAATGAACCCTTTCCTTCAACTTCAGCATCCTGTTAACTCATTCAGGAAGCAATTCGAGGCCCAGAATATCATCATAAGTAATATTTTATTATTCATCTGTAATTCTTTACTTTCCTCAACAAAAATGTTTGTTTCCCTAACTTGATCTTACTTTTCTATTTTTCTGCTGGTCCCTTTAAGACACAGTGTCAGATCCTGAAAGGTCCTTCACCCCATCACTTCAATTACGCACCAGACAAGAGTTTCCCATCAAAATGAAGTACGACATAATAGAAGCCAGCAGAAAATTACCTTTTCTACGAAGTGAAGTAGGACGTTTTTTAGATTTTTATGCACGTAGAAAAGCAACGATTGTATTTGCACAGCATGTCGGTTGCTGTCTCTCAAATGGCCGAATTTTTTCTACAAGATTTCAACTTTCCCGTCTCTTTCATCACAGATTCAAGCATCCGAAATTAACTATAATGTATGTTCGCTACTTTTTCTTTAGCTTGCCCGAAGAAAACGTTCAGCATTTACTCACCAAATAGCTTTGTCCTTCAAGGCCCAATAAGTTGCAAAATAACATGCACTAATGTAATATCAACCTACACACGATAAAAAAACGTACAAAATGGAAATCTTTTCATTAAAATGCTGAATGGGAGAAAATCGAGTAAAACAGTTCAATAAGCATACAGTTTTACTTTGGTCATCTCCTAATCACTTCGTGTTCGCCAGCAAATATCCATCATTTTATGACAATTTCCTCGGTGTACAGCTGAATGAATTTCGCTCGTCGAAAATCTTCCGCGATGATGTCAAATAAACTCAGAACACATGACGACGACAACACCTTCCAAACGGATCATATCTACCAAACCTGACATCCAACATTATACCGACGCAGCACTGGATATGCAACGCATAAACATGTCCAAGCTCTACCTCGAAAAACGAGTCATTCAAAATCTTTCCGAACAGAGACGCGCGCTAGCCGGCGCTCGCACAAATCTGTTCAGCATACAATAGATCTACGCAGATCCACGACAAAAATCTCAAAAATAAAAATGCGCTCGTTATACAAAACCAAATAAATGGTAGTATAGATTTAATTTAATTTGCGGGGAACTCGGAATCACTGAGAAAAAATACAGTTGACTAGGTTCAGAAAATTATACCAGAAGCATGTCGATGGGCTGGGCAGGTTTAGGTTGGCAAGTTTCATCTTTTGTCCTGATCTTACGATGCAAGCAAATCTAAAATTACAGGGCACAAATGCGAGAAAAATGAAACGCAAAAATATTAATACAGTTCGCGTTTCCAGACTTCAGGAATCCCCCCTTTCACATCACACAACGGATAGGCGACCCACTTGCACGAGTGCTCTTCCATCGCATCCGGCAAAACTAGGATTGGGGGCCAGGTCACATCCAACGCGGGGAGTGTACAATGTTCTTTATCACACATCTGCTTGAACTCACACAAAATCGAAAGATTAACAAAGGCACTCCTCAACCGAAATTGCACAAAAAAATGGGTGTCAGAGATCACAAGACAATCCTTGGATCATCCACCGCGCAATCTCCGGTTGTCAAGCGATACATCGCCATTTCAGAGATCCCGTGGTAGTGCACAAACGCAGCGGCAATCACGAGAATGTGAAAGAGTTGATGACTATGGAACCAAATGTCGCATTTGCCCGGGAAAAACCTCTCGGGAACTCGCCAAGCATACAACAACGCTCCCGATATGTACAACACCGCCATGAGAATCAGAGAACCCATCGCAGCTTCCGAAGCAGCTTTCAACCATCCCTCCGAGTACAAATAATGCATGGCGGGCACAACACCTGATAGCCCGAACCCCATGAAAACTCCGGCTCTCAACGGTCTGTAACGCGGTGTTCCGAACTTGTCCCACAGTGACACGGTGATAGCGCATGTCCCCAAAATTGTAGTGACGCTCAAGTAAATTACTTTCGGCAGAAATTCACAATAGAAACCGTAGTAGAGCCACGGTACAAACGAGCCCATGATCAGAAACGCAATGCCACAGTAGTCCAATTTGGAGAACAGTCTGCCGACGAACTCGGAATGACACGATACTGTATGGAAAGCGAACGACATCCCTAGACAGATGATAGCACCAGCGAAGAATGCGGCAAACACGAGCTTCTCTTGAAGTTCCACCTCAATGTTGGGTCTTGAAAGGAAATAGGTTGCAATTCCCATGAAGGCGAGACAGCCTAGAAGATGCGTCCAAATGTTTCCAGTCTCCGTGTGCACCCTAATCCCGAAGGGAGAAATTTCAAAAAGAGTTAATTCACGAAATATTGGAAAAATATGCAAGATCCGTCGGGACTGTAATAAATTAGCGTGCTGTCTCGTGTTCATCGACCCCTAAAATCTGCATCGACGCTCAGTTCACGTTGAAATATGTAATCAACAATCTCCTTTTTATAGGGTCAATATTTTTTTGTATAGTTGTATGCCAAGTTAATTGGAGCCCAGGCAATTGATTTATAGTAATTTATACAGTAACGTGAGTAACTTATATCAAGGTCACTTCCTGCCCAATTTAGAGTTACTGAACATTTGAAAAATCATTCCAGCAATTGAACGAATATTCAATAATGGTAACCAATTTCAAAAATCCCAAAAGAGGAATGAAAATGAGAAAAATGCACATGTCTAACACACAATGATATCAAAACTTGGTAGCAAATGGTAGCAAATTTCAAACCTACTGTACAATAAAAAAAATGAAAATATGAATCAGGCATGTGTTCAACACGCAGGAATGTGGAGTAGACTTGATAAACGTTGGATTATGTGCAACTTAGGGGTCTGAAATTTGCTTCTGGGTAGAATTCGCAGATATAATTTGGGGAATTCCACAATTTGAAATATTGAAAGATTCGCATCCTTAAAACAAAGAAAAAAATATGCACACGGAAGTGCTCGAACGTCTCAATTATATTGTACTACAGACCCAGGATTTTTTTTTAGATACAGTAGGTAAATAGCATTTGGACTATAATAATTGTTGGGGGCTATGAAGGAAATTGGCTTCAGATGAAATTCATACGTGCGCGAATGGCATAGTACAGTACAATACGCAAGATTCCCCACTGGCTTTCAACATCTGCAATCTGAGCAAAGACCAGACAGCGAGCTCACTGGAGGTCGTAACTTCTCGGTTTCACACTGAAATATTTTCTACACACCTGAATATGGATTTAAAGCAAGCGGAAAACGACGGAAGAGGAGGCCGATGCGCATGATGCAAAAAGTCGTTATCCTGGAGCCAAGCAGGAAGATGCTGAAAATGAACAACTCTCCACGTTCCTTCCCAGACCCTTCGGAAAAAATCCTCTGCACTTTCGACAGCATGATGCGCCATTGAGGAGAAGTCCACATCCTCACACACTGTCTCAAAATTGTGCAGGCAATTCCGCAACCTGGAGCGAAGCAAACCAACGTTTTCTTCTGGCTTTGGGGGCTCAGGACTGGGCAAGCGGGTTATCGCTTCGACGTCATCTTCTGGGACTTCAACGGCTGAGTTGAACGAACGAATGTCATCGTCATCAGAATTATCCTCATGTACTGCCGGGCTCGAAGGAATTTCGTCCTGACGCTCGTTGAGAATTTCCTCGGGGGTGACTTCTATAGTCGTAGCCATCTCGAGGTCGTTTTGAGTTCGAACAGCAACCGCGCAATTTCACTTCATCAGGATATTGTAGTAGTATTCAAGTTCAACACGGGTATAAGTAGCGAGTAGAGATTAAACTGAAAAGTAGCGAAGTTTATAAAAACATGACAATGACACTTTTTTGTTCGATACACGAAATTAAAATCCCAACATTCCTTATTCAACACATCAGACTGAACCTCTGCCAGTTTTTAATGAAGAGAGCAAAATCGATGTTACACTTCGCTCGGTAATGTAAAAAAAAAACCACACACACATCAACTGATGACGCTTGGCGTATAACCGATGCTTATGATTTATACGGACATAAAAAAGTAAATAAATTGTAACCCAGAGGAAGACAAATCCTGAAATGCGTGCTACGACACACTAGTGTAAAAAACTGGAAATCCCGAGCGTGATCAACAAATCACTCGGAACTGAAAAGCTATCACTATTACAATACTGAAAACTGAAGATTTCATCAAAACTTCGCGGCATCAGCAGAGGCTTCAACTGCGCAGTGACATATTACGTCAATGTCCGAAAACTTCTTCGTGCAGCATCAACGTGCCTTACAAACAAAATCAAAGTGAACTTCACTGAGACACGGTGACTGGAATCGGAAGGAATCTTGATGCTTGAAAGAAGCACAGGATGGATAATTCGCCAGTCAACACACGAGCAAAATACAATCAGAATGCCATCAATGCGACGGCACCTCTCAAATGGCTTCAACATTTTACGAAGTAGCCTCGGATGCATTAAACATCATAACAGGACCAAGCTGATTCATCACAAAACCAGAAGGATGTCGCGGACACAACCTTCATCACATGATCTGCAATCAAGAACAATGAATTCCGCATACCCCTAAACCAATCAACAAATTTACGTCAACAACTTTAGGTACGATTCTGGTGAATACAGTCTACAGCGACCGGAACAACAGAATGGATTTAAAACATAAACGAGAGATTCCTGAATCGGCGCGAGTTTTGACCAAACTCTAGGACAAAGAAGATTATCTGTATTTTGACGACTATAAAATCGTACACGACGCTGTCGAAGGGGAAAGCGAAGAGACCGAAACAGAATGCTTCAAACGAAAGAAATCCGGTCCGCAACCGGAATCTCTTCTCCGTAAGCGATTGCGGTACTGTGTCGGACTTCCAGCTTCTCCGCCTTTGTCGACTTCGTATGGTGTGGCAGTGCTTCCGGCCTTTGCACGATCTCGCGCCAGCACTTCGCGAAACCGGGAGTACTCATGATGATGGGGGCAGCAGAAAAGCAGACCGGCTGCTCGGCTGTGGTTGTGCTCCTTGTCATCCACCCACTGCGGCGGCTTAAAGCTCAACGCGCCCATTGACGCGGTCAGTGTCGCCACAGCGGCAACGGACGACGACAAGTGCACACGATGTGGGTCCACAGCGCTGCGCCCCCATAGCAAACCTCACCAAAGATGATGCTCCGATTGTGGTAATCGGATGACACCTACGCCACCCCCTAGACGTCGATAATTCATCGATCCCACCAATTTCCACTGGTTTTGGTCGGGATCATACACTTCTACGGTTTTCAAATAGGTTGTCCCGTCAAAACCACCGACCGCGTATAACAATCCGTTCACGACTGAGAGTCCCACACCGGACCTCCTCGAGTTCATTGCAACAATTGGACTCCATTGATTTGTCTGTGAAATAGAAAAACATAGAACCACATTGGGAGGCTGTCGATTTTTTTATTACGTCATCTGTCAAGAGACGTAAATCTGCTGCGCAAACCCAGAATACGATACATCGCATCAAAACACTGAATCTCCGAAAGTTCTAGGTCATATTTAGGAAAATTATAAATAAGATAATCCGGACACCGAAACGTTTTCAGTCATTCATCACGAGCATCAAAATTAGATGTGGCCATGCTTGCGTGAAATTCAGTCCAAAGCGACGAACATTCAACGAACAACATGGACTCGAAAGACAAAGGTTTACGTTTGAGAATCCCTGTACCGCGGAGTTTTGAAACGTTCGAAGGAAACAGCATCTTAATCCTAGGTTATTCCCAAGGGCAGTCACGGAACCTCCAAATCTTAAATACATACTCTACTGTTGAAATACCCTGAAGAACTTCCTCATGCTTTTCACATCCCTCGAAAGAATTCTATAATGAAACAGGAAAAAACTAGGAGATAAAATGTGCCAATTTCTAACCTCCGAAAAGAAGACTTTTTTAAAGCAAAAATGTAAGCATTCCGAAGGTAGGTGGAATTGGGGAGATGCCAGGGTTTTGGTGAAAGGGTAAAATAACATACAGATACGAGAGTGCCATTTACAGTAATTTAGTACAGCGAAAATTAACACGATGGACCGGCAGACTGCATTAATAACTCAAAAGGCATAAAAATCAATAATACTGTAGTGTATTTTGTATGAAGAATATTTAATAAAAAAGCGAAACAAAAATAATCCTTAAAAGAAAAACCGAACCAACTAAATGAACAAAACTAAACCCCATCGTAAGCCAAAAAATACCCAACTGATCGTTAATTGATTCATAAAAATTTCCATTGTGGGTTTCAAGTTGACAGAACTGCTTTTCATTCCATGGCTCAAAAACGTATACAGTAAAGTACTAGGGTCTGATTCCTTTAAAACCGTTACGGGAACTTAATTCTGACGATTAGAGTTAGAAATGAACAATTTTATTCCAATTTCGTCATACAGAATATGAATATACTTCTGAATAAGGATACTTGCGTTACAATCATTCTCATACACATATGTATGGTAGACATAAATATGGTAGCCTCATCAACATTCGAACACATTACTGCATAAAAAAAAAAAACTTCGCCTGCGATAGCTACAGTACAAAACTTGACTTCTTCTCTTCATCGGATAGAAACTCGAGTCGGACCTCCCGGAGATACAATTCTTCTCCCACCATACGATTTTGCGGTAATCGCATATTTCGCAGATCGGATGACAAACCGCGAATACGAATTTTATGCTTAAACCGTATGGTTACAAAAATAATCAGGGAAAATAATCGGTACACAGAATATAAATTAAGATAACTACAGAATCCAAATATCTTACGGACAAAATAAGGAAAGAATAATTCAACGAACCTGAGGGTTATATCGTTCAGCTGAGCTTAGTTCCATACAGTCGTCTCGACCGCCAACGGCAAAAATGGCATTATTGTAAACTGCACAACCCAGATGCTTTCTTCGGGTGAGCATTGAAGCAACAGAGGTCCAGCGATTTGTTCTCGGGTCATACCTTTCGACAGTATTCAAGGGGCAAGTACCATCAGAGCCACCAATAGCGTACAAATAACCACCCAGAACAGCAACGGCTACACCCAATCGTCGCGTGCTCATGCTTGACACTTTCGTCCACCGGTTCGCATTTGGATCGTATCTGGTGGAAGAAAAAATCAGAACCGAAGCCGGAATCTCGCAAGGAATTTTCACGAACTTTTCGACGAAGTTTAAGCAGGAAACTCCATCTTGGCCGCCAACTGCATAAAGGAAGTTATCCAAAACTGCGACACCAACGCTGGTTCGACAGCTAGAAGTAGGAGCAACGTCACTGCTCCACTGGTTTGTTTGAGGATCGTATCTTTCAATCGAATTCAGATAAGATTGACCATCGTGTCCACCGACAGCATATAACAGATCACAAAGTACCGCTACACCAACTCCACACCGTCGTTTCCCCATCGGTGCAACCATACGCCATTCGTTGCTCTGAGGATCATATCTTTCCACTGACTGAATAGCATCCCCGCTACACCATCCCCCAACTGCAATCAAAAAATATTATTCCACAATAAAGAACGAGAATGCCGACAAAAAACATTACTGTACCAGCATACAGCACTTCGCCACGTCTGGTCGGTCGCCTGGGTCTGGTTCGAGGACCTTGCATCAGAGGTCGTTCTTGCGGAAGCAGCAAATAATTTTTCGCTTCGTCAACAAGGTCTCTGCAAGCTTCGTCACTCCGGATGAGGAGATCCGTGCCGACGGATCCAACCAAAAACTTCGGACTTAGTAATGGCAGCCGAACGTGTTGAAGGATCTTGAAATACCAATAATCGTAGCAATACCACACTCATCGTTAGCGAGAAGAGTACATACCTGGGCCAGGTGAGGTCTGCGCTCAGGAATGTTAAATTTTACCCAGGACATAACTGCTGAAAAAACTTGCTCTTCCGAACGAACATTCAATTCGTCGCTGGATATAATATCTATCAATTGATTCAATGGTAACAACATGAACTCCTCGCTTTCCATCACCTAAATGATATGAGAGTAGTTGACATCTCAGTGAAATTGCTTGTTAAGGTCTACAAACTTCTTGGAAATTGTGATGCGTGTAGCGATCTGCAATACGCAATAGTTCACGGCAAGCATGGGTATCAGCGAACGCTCGTATTCCTAGGCAATTGCTGGGGTCTAACTGCCGCTTCAGGAATTCACAGCAAGTTTCTTGAATTTCGGTAAGCTGAAGAAGACATGCTGAAAGCGAAGGAGAACGGAATTTAAGCGATGTGATTCATAATAGCGTGGGGAAAAAAGTAACTAACCCGCTGGAAGTAAACTCTGAACATTACTCTCCTCCACAACGATTTTTGATGAATAACAAAAATCTATCAACAGCTCCATTGCTTGCTCGTCAACATCTCGAATCGTGATTTCCGGTAATTTCGACTCCGACAGTTCCCCAGTGAACATAGCTCGGAAATAGGGACTGCAGGCGGACAAAATGACTCGGTGGGCGAAGATTCGTCTAGATCCAACGACGATGCATACGTCGCAAAGCTCGCGATGCTTCCGTATGCGTTGAATTTCTTCAAGAACATGAGGAGGATGCTTCTCGGAAAAATATGGCAAACGAGCAGGAGAAGGCGTTCGTTCGAGAGTGGTACAGCCCAATTCTCCCATATTATGAATGTCCTAGAGCATTGTTTTAATCATTACATTTTCACGCCAGGAGGCTGTTTCATTCGAAACTCACGAAGGAACTATGCAGCAGTGAACCCGATCAATGGAGGCAACTTCTGCACCCTTCGAACGCAATAGTAGGTCTCACGAAGCATCGATAACGATGTAAAAATCCACCTTCTGATCTTCAGAAAAACTTGTACATCTTTTAAGCAATTGATCTGAAAAGATCGATGAGGTGCTCCATCAGCGACTTCACATGTATCTATCCCTATGATCAGGTTCGATGGATCCCTGCATTGTCAAAGGAGTTCTCTGGAAATAAAAGAAGCGTTCGCTGGAATGATATTTCAAACAACTCCATATTTTACAAATTTGTACTCAACAAAAATCGATATAAATTTAAAGAACACACAAAAACCTTCACAAGATCGAAGGCAATGATTAACTCGCATCTACAGCAGTTCAATGGCCCCCGGAAAAAAAACCAACTACAGTTGACAAGTGCCTCATCGTAACGTACGAATTATTGCACGGTTTATTTCTCAAGCGACCAGCTCAAAGCGTTGTAGGATGTAGGGACGCAACGAGGATGAGAAGGACAACCTACTCATCCTTCCTCTACCATCAACCGTCGAGCCTCGAACCTACAAGTCAAGTACTGTGCCCAAAGGTTGAAATTTGAAAACTTTGAAAAAGGCGATGTACTGTATATACTATATAGGTCAAATCCTGGGCATGTTTATTTGCGAGGACACTGTCAAAATAATTAATGCACAATTCAGTTCAACACGTCCCCTCTTAATTTCCCTATATACTGTACATCATCACCACTATACAGTACCAGAAATAAAAGGAAACCCGTACGAGATTAATGCACGTAATTCAGATACTGTGTTTATCCGCATCAGACGCGTAATTACGCAGGTGTTGCCATCACGCTCTATGCTGGGTCACAGACAGCTTAAGCCCCATTTTTCAGGGCGCTACTGACATAGGGGTCTATTCTCTCACAACGCCACTCCCTCCTTGAACACTGTTCATGAGTGACTTCAAGAATTCCTAGTACAGTATCTCTGTGCAATAGTTCATGGTGAATAATAGCAGATTACTGTATGTCGGAAGCGTTCTCAATGCCAATGAATTGGCAATTCACTGCATGAATAGAATGTAAAGCATGATTTCTTTAGCATGGAATTCTTACATTTTCCTTCACTAATATCCTTTGCTAATAGCAGAGGACTCATACTTCTTGCTGAATTCTTACCATAGGATACTGTACTTGTAATCAAGTTATACAGTATAATTATGGCATTTTTGCCTACTCATCCATCAATGTTTGAAAGATTTTTCTGGAAGTAGCTGAGGCTTCTGCAACTGAATTTAGCAACAATCTGTACACAGTAAAATCTTGCTACAACAAAATTTTAGATGCATAAAACAATTCCCTAGTCCCAACAGAAAGCATACATTTAATTAGCCTAGTACACAGATATCTCATGACATACATAGACAGGTATTTAACTGCCAAGACTGAATCACAGTCTTGGCAGATGTTCTGCTTGCTGCTTCACGGTTATTGTTGTTCAAGCTAGTATTCAACTTTATATTAGCAGAAGGATTGTATACAGTACTTCTATTACTTCTATAAAAGTCGGAATAGCATTTAGACACACAGACAACAAGAAAGACATGTGTATGAAAAGAAGGTTGTATTTCGGAGCATTTTTCATCCCCAATTCAAAAAATTTTCACTCTTTCAAAATCATTCTCGTCAATAAATTCATGCACAAGTAATATGCATCGAAGTCCGAGCTGTCCGACCACAAGAGACCAAATAGGAACATTTCGATGTACAGGTATTTAACAATAAATTATCTTTGATACGCTAAGCTCTACGTCTATGGTTTTACCAGAAATGAATCTAGTGCAGTATATTCAGTAGAAAATGTGAATAAAATCAAAAACACGAGGACAAAATGGGATCGCCAAATTGAGATAGACATCTGCACTTCGATCGAAATATACGCGTGATTTTGAACTACAACTGTAAGAAACTCGCAGTTGAAAAACTCTTTTCAAATACTCGCGGACACGAGTTGGAGAAAAATACGGCCTGAAATGTTCCTTTACAGTCAATTTTTGGTTCGGTAGATGAAATTTCAAAACTGTTCAGTCACTGCTCCACGTCACCTCTTCGCGGCTTCAACATTCCCGTCAGTTTTTGCAACTTGATGGTCTTTTGCTATGGAAATAAGAGAGTCATCAAAACTTTATACAAACCGCAGAGCCAACAGCAGGAGTGAAACGTTACAAATTTCGTAAAATATAAAACATGTATACAGTCTACAAATCGTTATTCCGAAATACAGTGTATTATCGCATTTTTTGTTGACTATGTTTACACGTCCGGATCAACAGTTTCATTGCAAGTGGCTGATCAATGATCTCGGTCACTAATACTAATTCCCATGTATGCACTTACAGCATTAGGTACTTTAACTCGAGTAACCGCCAACTGGAATCGTCCCGCAGCTCCTCCAGGAATAGCGTCAATTTTTCGATCATCAATGTTTTGCTGCAATGGATCCACTGGCTCCTGTATTTAACAGATAGATTCCTGATGTTCATTTATTTGTTCACCGAAATACCCATCACACATACAAGCATAATACACGCGTCGAAGAGAAAATCGGATTTTTTGCTGAACCGAAAGGGAACAAATTGATGAACTAAACACACGGAACTATCTTCGCAAAGAGAATGAACACAATTTTCCCATCATTTTTTGAGCACAAATACAAATACTGAATTCTGCTTAGCCCCCCACTGCCAGCATTTAAACTTTTACACGAAACATCTCATGATCACTTACTGTATTCGAGAAATGGTTTCAACAGTCACAAAATACGTGACTCCGCATGAAATACAGTACGTCAATTCCCGCGGACAACTACCTCAATTTCTAAATACTGACTAAAAAAAAACATACGCATTCAGAAAGGTTGGTTACCTCTGAAATACTTTTCGCGGCTTTCCTAAACCGTCCCCTGACTCCCCTCGTTGAAAGCGTCACACCTTCTTCTCCTCTATTAACTTCCTCTTGCAAGACCTGAGATGTTCGTTTCCGAACCACAGTGGCCTTGGAAACAGCCTCTTCCACTTCTGCTGAGGATGGAATAGCTGCTTCAGTTCTGAAGGAAATTGAAAAATTGTAATCTCCTACAGTGGTCCATAATTCAGGAATGTTCAAAGAAGAATAACTTACTCCAAATTCACATGGAATCGTTCGGCAAGCTTTTTAAATTTATCAACGTCATGGGCTGGCACCGACACCTTTCCGGAGTATAAATACTGGAGTACAATTCCAACAACTGGGAGATCCTCGTCAGGCAGCAGCAGGGCCGACAAATCTTTCGAAACCCGTTTGAACATTGACGCAAAATACGGACTGACTGCACTCAGAATAACTTTGTGAGCATTTATAACCAAGTCCGCACAACAAATTTTTACGTCGGAAAAAGTTGGATCATTGTAAAGCTTTTCAAGCTCTTGGCGAACGACGACAAAATCGCGATTCGAGGCTTCAAAGACGATAGCCATTTCCACTCAAAACAAATCTAAAAATGAAATGAATACGGTATTAGTTCATGATGTGTTTCAAAAACGGATGTCAACCGAAAAGAGGATCCCGGAAAAACGTGAGGAGTCGTTTTCTTTCATTAAACAATCACCAAAGGATCTGCATCTCGGACAGAAATTGCGAACTCCACGTCTTCCGCTACCGCTTCCAACATTTGTTTCGCTTTTTCCAGAAATCCGCGTTCAGTATTGGAATGATCACAAAGGATGACGTGAGTTCCCGTATGAATGGCATCCAATACGTCATGATGCGACATTTCCCCCGTCACAAAGACGTCCAGCTTTCCTTTCGGTAACGTGGACGCTCCGGACCCACAACAAACACCGACTCGTGAAACGGTCTCTTCTGTTCCTTGTTTCCCAACAGCTTTCGCAACGCGAACATGTTCAAGATGCAAATGTTCTTTAACGCAATGAACCGCAGTTTTAAGACTTATGGGATTTTTAAGCGTGCACCATCGGCCTCCGCCAGTCGCATTTGACGCCTGCAAGTTTGAAAAATTCGTTACTGAATACCCGCACTAAAATTCAAAATTCATTACATCCAGCTACAGTGCATATAACGACAGATTATGCATGACAAAAATATTAACGGTAAACTGGACTTTCGTCCGCCTGGATTCATAAGCTTAGCTAAAGAAAGACCACGTGAGTACATAGCAGTACGTAAAACGTATTTACATCCGGTTCTTCCACGTTCGAAACCTGGAAGCCTGTTCGAAGTGCGGCAGATATCGCTGGAAACGCATCCACTTTTCTGCATTTCAGCTGGGTTGAATCAGAATTGACTTCAAAATGGGCTCCTTCTCCTTCGACCCTGATGAGAACCCCCAGACATACCGTGACACAATGCAAGATTTAAAAATTCAATTTTTTTTTTTTACCCAGAAGTCGGCGACTGCAATTCCCGTGGCTTGTTCCCAGCAATAAACGTTATTTTACAATCTTCGGAGGAACTAGGCTTCAAGGGATAACTCTCCGCATACCCTGCAAAAATCATCATGTATTTTCATATTCTCGAATAGACGACGACGGATCTTACCAATTTTCTTAAACGCGTCCAAGAGCCAGTCTGAAGCACCACCGCGGAAACTGTCCCAAGTCGTATGAGGAGAATACACAGCAATATTGTTTCGCAAGCACGTGCTCACAATCTCAGTCTTCCAATCATCCATAGTTATACGCTTCAGACCCGAAAATATCAATGGGTGATATGTTAGCACCATGTTGACGTTGGCCTCCAGAGCTTCTTGCATCACGGGTTCGGTGAAATCATTCGTTAATAATACTTTTTTAATCACTAATTTACCGGGAGGTTGCACGAGAAGTCCAACATTATCCCAGCTTTCCGCAAGCGCGAGTGGCGCTATGCGTTTGAATTGCTTCACCAACTGAGACAATTCCATAATTCGTGCGTTTCTGAACAAGACCGACCAAGAGAGAAGCGAAGTTTCAATAGAAATAAACATAATGAAGGGAATTTTATCATGCTTGTCGTTTCTTCTTCAACCATTAATCGTGAAGCTTTAACAGGATTTGAAGTAAGCAGCGACGGTGATAAACAATAAGTCCATTCATTCCATTCGCCAAATCTTGATCACTCCATCGTCGCCAACCGAAGCCAAAATATCGGCATCAGTCGGACTCCAAGCAACACAATTCACGTCCCCGTTGTGTGCTTCGGTGTGTTTCCGAAGAAGCTCAAGATTCAACACTTGGTCATCGGTCTCGCCGCAGACAACTCGGAAAATTCTGATGCAGTTATCCCCACACGCCGTCGCTATTGAGCCCGAAACTTTCGACCACGCCACATCATAAATTGGACGGTCATGAAGTCCCGACAACGTGGCGGTATTGACAAACGAATTTTCAGAAATTTTTTCCGATGAAGAGCTCCAAATCTTCAACGTTTTATCGTCGCTGCAGGAAACCATAAATTTACCAGATGTGTCGAAGTCTACAGCCCAAACCGTGGACTCATGCCCTTTCAACGTCGAGACGCAACTCCAATCATCGAGCTCTTCCTTATAAAGTTTGACCGAGTTGTCATAACTCGCAGAAGCTAGAATATTCTGGTTTGGATGCCACGAAACTCGCTTCACGTCCTGCAAACGAAATGAATTCAGATGAGAAAACTGTTGAAATACAGAGTTGAAACAAAGAAAAAGAGCTAATTTTCAATATGGAAAAAACCGGCCGGGTGAATTTAACAGAAAGCATGAAATGATTTCAGATATATTTGTTCATAGAGGAACGTCTGTTAGCGGATGGGATTGAAACTAACCTGCGTGTGTGAAGTAATCACAGCAGCGCATGAAAATTCCGGAACCCCGTCATCCTCAATATTTTCCCAAATCCAAACAGTCTTGTCTCGACTGCATGTAGCGATGAATTTTCCATCGTGTGACCAAGCCACACTTTTAACTTCATTTTCATGGCCCTCGAGGGTAGCAAAAGGCTTCAACTCCGAGCCTTCGACTTCCCAAATGTTGACAGAACCGTCGAAGGATGAACTGGCTAGATAATGCCCGCAAGGGGACCATGAAAGATAACGAACGGTGCGCCGATGAGCGTCAGAAATAACAGTTGAACATTCCCATCGACGAAGTTCACAATCTTGAAGATGGTGCCAAACACGAATGGTTTTGTCTGACGAGCATGTGGCGAAGGATTTGCCGAGAGGATCCCAAGCAAGACACCATATGCGGTCTTTGTGCCCCTCCAATTCGCTGATCAGCTTCAAGCCAGACATTGCAGCGTTCAATATGTTCGGAGCAGAATCCTGATGAAATACAGACAGCAATTCACCGAGAATTATGAAAAGGGAGCTCCCACCGTATACTAATGCGAGAAAGCGCACGCCACGAATTTCAAGAAGAAACGTATCAATCGCTCACCGAACACGTCAGTACATCAGAGATCTTCTTCAAAAGGTTCACATTTCCGGCTATACACCTGCATAAAAATTAGTACTGTATATGAGAAATTTATGCACCTCTACCGCGAACAAATATCATGGCGTTGGCCAAAAATAACTCGAGAAAGCAAAAAGCGTTGATCACCTTTATTCATGGAAATAACAATCATCGAGGCGATGAATTTCTTGAAAAAAAAAAATACCGGTTCACAAGTTTTTCACGATGAAACTTCACTTTTATTCTTCCAACAACACTCTTCACGAATTCACGACATAGCAACCTCTCATATAAAAAATATAGATTACGAAAAGAAGCTTTCCTTGATTTAGATAGAATCATAAGTCAAGTCTGCGCTGACACGACGCATCATCTGTTTGTCATAGGCAATACAGCGGAATCAAACGCCGTAAAAATGAAAACATGCATCAAAAGCGAAAAAGTCAAATTATCTCGTGATCCACTTCTCATGAAGGCAGAAAACCCACTATTTACAACTCATACGAAGACCGTTCGTTCATTTTCTGGATGAAATTTACATTAAAAAGACTGACAATTAAGTCTACATTTTAAAATACGAAATTTATTTTACAGAATATTTTCAAAATTCTAAATCAAAGTTGCACGCGTTATTTTCAACCCATGCCCAGAGAATCATCCTTGAAAAAAGCAATCGAGATGTAAAAATGTATCGTAAGCTGTGGTGGATGGAAAATGGCAGCAGCATTGAACATCTATCCAGACCATGCATGGTTCTTCTTCATCCATTCTGATTTCTGAAACTTGCATTTTCTGAATTCCTGAGAAGTGGATAGCAGGAGTAGAAGTCTCCCTCCAATTTATGATTACAGTTTTATTGGAACAAAGGTGGGAAGATGAGTAAGTTACAGGACGAGGAACCACGCAAATCGACATCGAAAGTTTATGTTTATTATTTTTTGGCCTATTTCATTCTTTTCTATTTTCAACATTTCGTAATAAAAATCACCGAAATTTTCATTAAAACGAGAGAACTCTGATACATACAAATTAAATATTGTAGAATAAAACATCAACAGTTTTATCGCACTCAATGCAATTGTGTGATTTGATACGTTTTTAGACGCAACCAAGTACAGTAATCCTATCGTTAAAATAATCATTAGCAACTTTCTAGAGGGAGGTCTTTATGACTGTAGCAGCTACACTTTCAAACTTGAAAACAAAATTAAAGCAATGGCTATGAGCAAATCCTTTTTTATCACCAACAAGTTCAGTTTTTTCCTTAGGTAGTTAAAAAGATACTGCTGTTTTTCTTGGACTGCAATTCTTCCGGGCAACCGTGAATATCTGCATACTTTTCTTCATTTATGTAAAGCAAAATAGATGGGACGATAAACACAACTTGATGGAAATTTTCCTCCACTTACCAATGTCTGTAAACGCGCTCTCCGAGTGGCAGTGTTCTTTATCGTCGTTGGATACTATCAGCATCAACGGGATTCTTGCTCGTGAAAATGCCATCTCCGGTATGTTCTCAATAAATCAAGGACTGGACAGTTATAGTAAACCAATTCGTTACGATCCGGACACGTTGGGATCATTCAAGATCATTCAATGACGGTCAACGTAGATTCTACAACGGTCATTAATTCATGTGGAACAGCGCAGAAGAAAAAAAATCCTTTCAATAGCGAAGCTTTACAAAATTTGAAAAATTTCCGACTAAATCAGGGGGTAAAAAATAAAAATCACAGGTGGAACGCGGTTTCAATATTCAGCGTTGTTCCGATTTAGAGCTACAGTACGAGAAATTTCGAATTTCTGCGGCTGAAGACCAGTTCGAAAGTTGAACACGGGAATGCGCACAAGTCAACTTGCAATGCTTCTCGCTAGGGCCAAGCAGTGTTCAAAATTATCCGTGAACTGAGAAAAGATGCTACAGCTTTGTAGTAAGAAAGATTCCCACAATTTATGACAAAAAAGTGATATAGAATCAACAATAAAATAGAACAAAAAAGTTTTCCACGAAAACAATCCGGACGTATTTTGATCATAAAAATTCCATTGAACACCTAAACTCTACCCCCATGCCCATGCGAGCAGAACTTGGTAACGCACCTAAATTCAAAACAACAAGAAAAAGTTGAAATATTATTTCATCAGGTTCTTCCAGGAATCACATCACTTTGGAAGTTGAAATTTTCAAAGTGTCATGCGATCCAAGAGGCCAAAGGACCGCAGAAATTGAAACGACACGCCTGTTCTTCGGGAAAAGCTGGATAATAGAAATTTGCTTGGATTCGGAAACAGAATATTCCGTTTATTTAAGCCGTATCTTTTACCTCACATCAACATACTTCACGACATCCAGATGTTTTTGAATGACACTAAGCCACTATGTTCGCAAAAATCTTGGAAGATGTACGCCAAGAGTTTCGCATAGTTCCAAAACATTTTCCAAAATAATTACAAATAAGAAACGCCAGCGGAAATTTGAGACGATTGTCAATTGTTTGAGCTAACTGCTCATTAAAAATCCAATCTTACAACCACAATTTACGTATCTCACGTGTTTCTGCTCATCAGCAGAAAACAATGGCACGATAAAAAAAAAGCTGTTTGGCAAGAAGTTACTTCACGCTTGCTTACATTCCGCAAGTTCAGATGACGACAGTGACTACATGAATCATCATGGAAGACATAGAAAAAAAAGGCTGAAACAATAGAATCAGTCATCTGAACTCACTGAAATCTATGCGTTCTCAGTAAAGGCACCAACGGACGGGAAAATAGTCATCAGGAAGTGTTACATGCCAGGAGGAACCTTAATGTCGCATCCTTCGTGGAGATGGTCCACGATTTCTTCTTTCAGAGAAAAAATAGCTTCCTTCAGCTTTGCAACCACTCCAGCTAAATCGGCGTTCTCCACTTTCAAATTTTTCACTTGCTCCTCAAGACGAGAAATCCTTTCCAGCTTTCTTTGCCTGCAAATCGAGCAACATTAAACCGATGGCGCATCCAAAACAGTACATTATCTCTGTTCGAACCGACTGCATTGATACCGAAAGCAAATTGGACGAACTACATAGAACGACAAGAGGATTCAGGCAGTGCACGAATCAACCAAGGTTTGATGCCCCAACTCACCGACATTTTGATGCCGCTATTCTATTTCGCAATCTCTTCCTCTCCAACTTCTTCATTTCCTGATCATCCATATCAATAGGGGACACTCCTGATTCTCGTCTTACTCGTCCAGGGTCGGGTGAATTAGAGTCGGAAGATCCATGCCCAGAGCATGAAGCCTCGCCAATTGATGAATAATCCAAATCTAGTACTTCTTCCTTGATTTCTGGCTTTACGTCAATTTCACCGAATCCATAGCTTGTTTCGATAGGGATTGTTGATCGGGTGTCCATCATGACGGATGACACAATCGGACGATCCGTATCTCGCTTGGGTGACCGCTGCTGATTTATTTAAAATGACAGATGAGATAATATGAGGCAGATTCATGAAAAACTTGAATAGCTTTCAACCCTCGTGGAAAACATTTGGCTTTCAGTCCAACAAAATAATGCGATGAGACAAAGACGTGAAAATTGAAATATGAAGTTCCGATCTCACCAAGTCTTTCGCTCGTGATATTGGAATATCTTTCAGATCCGGAGGAAGCTCGCAGGGTGTCTGTGCGAATCTATACGACGATACAGCAGAGTCGTGATGCAACTGAGCCAAGGCGGCTTCGAACGGCTTCACATACTGCTCTTCTTCCTCAGTTACCAATTTCGGATTGAGAAACGACGACGGGGTAGTCGCGACAGTCTGCGATGTCAAACCAGACTGCTGAATAATCAGGCGCTCGAGTTCGGGAGTGGTCAACTTTAATTTATCGAGTTCCGGCGTCGAAAGAAGTTCGTTCACGCGTTGCTTCCGAACAGATTTTGGGGCCTCAAGGTCTAGCGTAAGGCGCTTTTTCATCCGGGATAAACTTCCCTTTGGATCGTCAACACCATCAGTCGAACTACCACTGTTCCCGACTATCGACATCACGCGGGAAAATATTCGTATAATGCCACGGTAATACCTGAAAATAAAACCGGAATTTTCGTGTGGTGAGTTTCTGATCACACACCACAATTAATAAATTTTTTTATAACTCATCACATATCCGCAAGAACAGACCGAAATATTACGAAAGCTGCTCTTCTCCTTCAGTAACCTCTTTCAAACTTAGAACCTCGATAGAACCTCTTCCTTTAGTTTCTTCTCGTACGCTCTCTTCGAGATTTTTGAAATTTCCCGGATCCACGAGACAAATCTGTGAAGAATCACGACAAATCGAAACGGAACCCTTTTTCATGAATTGAAACAAAAACTCACGAATACATTCACGTCACTTTCAAGCTGTTCAGATTCGAGACTCGACCAGATTTTCGAGAAGTGGTCTTTCAGTTTCTTCAGGTCTTTAACTGGAACAGTGATTTTGATGCTCATCTGGGCGCGCTCAATCGGCATAATTTCCTTCAACTTTTTCACGACCTCCAGGGACTGCAAAAATTAACGCGTTAAAATTAGAAAAAAGTATTGGATGATTCGGAGTACCTGTTGTTTAGTACTTCTGTTGGGTTTGACAGAAAAATGCATTTCTTTCATGGCCTTCGTGATCATCGATACAGGATAAGGCCTTTTTGTTTCGGGGTTCACGCAATTCGCTTGAAGAAGGAACGAAGATACAGGAAATTCTAGATTTTGCAAAAAACCGTTGCTTACTCTACCTGCAACTGTGTTAGCTATGTCTTTGTAAGATGCTTCCAAAGCAGCAGCACGTTCCTTGTCCGAAATCTGAACGTCGCCTTGCGAAAGAATCTGCATACAAATCTACGAAATAAATGGAAGAACTAGCTCTTTCTACTGAAATATTCTCTTGCGCATAGCTTGTTCAGTACTCTACCACACCTTAGGGCAATCGGCCATTCCAAATGCTTTCACAAGATCTTCTTTCTTCGCCAACTGTCCTTTGGATACGTTGGTATATACGTTATGAGTTTGCAGGACATTATCGATGTCTTGCTCACTGAAAATACAGTCAGATAAAACACACCGAACAAACCTCATATACGAGCAAAATCGGCTTCAACTCACACTTTGCTCCGCCATTCCTGGACTTTGTTCTTGTAACACGCTATTTCAAATCGTATTCCTGCTTTCTTCATACGAACAACTGCAATGTTCGTAAGTCGTATCTGATTCGTCGGAGTAAATATTGACATTTCGATGCAAAGCAAAATCTAAAAATGCCGGAAATCTTCGAAAAAAAATCTATATTGTATGCGATTTTCAGCTGAAAAAAATACTTCAAAATACGATCTATAGGCGAAGAAAGCACGGAGAATTAGTACATTAAACAAGCCTCTTTTGTTAAATTTGATGAATGAAAAACTTTCATCTCAAAGCAGATTCTCGTCTTTTTCCGGCGGATCGATGATCTTCAAACAAATATCAGCAAATGATATGAAAACGGGACACTGCATAGCTTCTTTCAGATCTCTCCATGGGTTGCCTGAAGCCGACAAAACGGTTAGAAAACGTCGCAGATCAGGATTCCGAAGGACGTCTTTCAATTCCGCCGACTCACCTACGAGACCAGATAAACAGGGTCAGTCTGGAGGAAGCAAATATAACTGTAGACTGAAAATAATAATCGCGCTCACGAAGTCGGGCGAGAAGCTCCGCCGGGACTACGTTCTCCGGTTCGAATTCAACAACTGGAACACATTTCATGCTGTCATTTGGTGTTGCACTACGACATGCTTCAACGCATAATCCGCTTTCCAAGTGCTTTTTCGAACATGCAAGGGAACAACTGAAAATATGAAAACGTGAATTCAGGAAATGCTTCTTCAAACTCAACTCACCTTTTAAGTTGACATTTCGGGCATCTGTACTTGAACTGTTCAACTTTACACACTGCACACCAATTCGCGTCACACATCATGGTTCAATTCATCTAAAAGTATGAGGACGGTTGAGAAGTGATGTCCGGGATGCGAGCGAGCCAGTGATCGTAAATTTACTCTTGTAAGGTCATGTAAAAGCTTCAGTAACCATCATTCTTCCAGCTAATTTTATAGATAGGGTAAACTTTCTTCAGAACTTCGGTAGCGATTGCATGATCAGCTCTGCCATAGCCCTTCAGAAAGAACAAAAGACGATGAAACAATAATTCAACAAGGCAGTTCGCGAAGTCGAATATCATGAGTAAAATAATCCTCGAAGATGGGACTGACCTGAGAATAGCCGAACACTTCGATAGTTTTGTCTACCGGATCATGAATGATTCTTCCACCTCCAACACATTCACCTGCCATGTTGAATTGCTTTAGTTCTTCCTCCACCGTATCCATGATGTCGGCTGTAACGTTAACATTTTTTCAAGACGAGGATTTTTTCCAACATAAAGCATTAACTACCAACCATGAAAGGGACATCGAGCATAACCACGAACAATATGATGCTCTTCGCCGCCACTACGCGGAGAAACTTTCACCAGAATATATTTGAAACGACCCGAAGGATCTATCTTCACTGGGGGAATGTTTCCTTGATCACTCATTTTTCGCAAGCGGGGACGTAGAAAGCACGGCCTGATGACTGATAATACACGTTGATGAGATAGCATATCCTGGCCAAATATAAGAAAATTCGCTAATCTACGCAAAATACTGTAATTAAATTCATATAAAAATCAACAGATACAAGAAACACAAACAATTCTCACGATGATTCAAGATTTTTTGTGCTTTTTCACACGAGCTTTCAAAGATTTGATATCAACATCACGGGATTTTTCCTCCAACACTCGAGTTTCCCGTTCTGGTGGAGGAATAAACTTCAACATCTTCTTTTCTTTCCTTTCTTTCGTCTTGACGACTTCTTTCTGACGACGCTCATACTCCTGCTTTCGTTTTCGCTCATTTTCCTCCAGGAAGTATTCTCCAGATGCAATCTGCTGATCAATTTTACTCTCCTGTTGTTCAGGAGGAAAAGGTGTGTAGTCCTTCTTTGGTTTTTTCTTCTTCTGTATTTTTTTAGACTTCACACTCCGATTCGGAAATTTCGGAACGAAACGGTCCCAACTCTCATTTTTCAAATTTGGATCCTTGGCAAGCTCCCTTTTGATCATTAACGCCTTAATGTGGTAGATTGGATGAATGTTATTCATGGTATCCATGACGATGCTGCGCACCTACGAACGAACGAACGATGAAGGATTGATTACCGAATGTACAAGATCGCTGTAGTGTGAAATTACAAAATCTCAAAGCAGATCGAATCTAAATCCTATCCGATGAAAATTCGCTTAAATCCTTGAAATACTGTACTGCAATCAACGTTTGAATAATTTTCCATCGTTCATGAAGGGTTCAAGGATATCCACTGTTTACTACTCCTCATATAATTATGTAACTTGTGCAAATAATACTCTTAAAACCACTGCAAGACTAATTCGAGAAAATGTATATAAACGGACGCAATTTCTCCTTCAATTGATGAGAGGTACTCTTGACTTACATGCTTAAGACCAGTCCACGGTCCAATCGCAGAAACAGTATTTCCTTGGATCAAAACGTAGCATCCAGTCAACAGCTCGATCGCTTTCAATGTCGCTCCATTAGGACCGATAAGTCTTTGTCGTCGTTTGACGAATCTTGCCTTATTCCTAACAATCTTCCCGATCCGTATGATTTCGCAGAAAACATCGTCATCCAAAACTTTTGCTGCATGCTCGTAAGGAACTGATCTTGCTAGAAGTTGAATAAAATCCCGAGCTTTGAGAATTATGTAAGGATCCCAGGTTTTTCTCGTCGTGCGAACGGACATCGACCCTTCCAAGAGATCCAAATCAGCTTTCAGCTCATGTTCCTTGAGCAATGTCTGAACCAAAGACCAACACTCCTTCAAATACTTCTCGCGATATTTCGGAAACAAAGTTGCAAAACTGCTCTCCTCGACTAAACACGGTTTAACATCTTCCTTCGTGAAACTGGGTACTTTCAAAGCCCAAGCGTTCTCGACAGGTTTATTCTCTGCGTCGTTCTCCATTTTCACTTCGTTCCTTGAAAACAAAATCCCATTAAGCACTTCAATTAAATGGATGCAGTACAACTTCCCATTTTCATCAAAGATGCTTCAAGGAAAACTTTCCGCAGCGATTCATATCATTCAGCAGATCAATTCTTCCACATTAGCACACGACGGCAATGATACAGTGATAATTAAAAACGAAGATTTAATAGAGAACAATATTTTCGCGGAGTTCGAGCATTCATCGGTCTACAGCTGATGAAAACTCCTCCAGCGGACGCAGCAGGATCACTAATCCATCCCTTCCACCAATGGCGATCAAGAATTCTTAATTTGTTGAAAGGAATGCATTCTTAACATATAAGAGGCTTTTTTTTTCAATAAATCACAAGGCATCGGGGGAAATTGACCAACTGATTTCAAGACCAGATCACCAAGCAGTGCTCCGAGGAGCTCTGAAGTCTTCGACTGACATCCACAGATCGCCAAAAATGAGTACATTACATCATATTACAACCAAGACATGAAAAGCTGATAAATTTCTCAAATTTCGCGAGGATTATCCGATGCAATACAGCACTTCTTGGAGAAGACAATAACACTGCCTAAAACGCAAATGAGAGCCCGGAGCCGATCATTCAGCCACTTCACTGAGAATTACTCACTGACACTACCATGCTCAACACCATCATTATACAAGTTACTACTCCACAGGCATTAAAAATTATTTTGGCCCTTGTACACGAACGAAGCTGCGTCTCGTCATAATGCAGAGGAGTACAGTACCGTGTAAGAGAATCACTGACCAGTGTTGCTGGAGAGGAGGGTTTAATCTGTAGGAGATTCATTTTGCCGGTAGATGTCACGTTTGCATGACGCGCATACATTTCTCGGAGGGTCACCTCTCGTGTACAAGTGCCATATTGAATTCGACACCCATTATCACTCACAGTTTCTTCCCAGCACACATCCAAAACGGTGAGGCACACACACATACGTGAAACTCTCCACGTTTACCCAGGGTCAAAAACTTATTGATAATATAGTACCTCGAGTTCTCAGACGTTGTCTCTGTTCGTCCTCGTAGTATGGCTCTCTATCGGATAGGCTCGTTGAACATCTGTGTTGATTCTTGAAAACTGTACTTTACTAGATGTCACTATAATTGATAAAGAAGCTCACTCACTGTGGATCCTTTTGTGGGACTGCGTTTCAATGCCATCCGGATTCTAAAAAATTCAATGCATTTTTCAGCTTCGGTGAATGTCACGCTTGTGACAATGTCATGCAAGAAGAAGGAGGTTTCATACTGGCAGCGTTATCTAGCGGACATTATAGACATTAAAACGTATGTCTCCTAACCTAAGCAAAACAACGAGAAACCCGCGAAGCAGAGGCGTGCTCGGTCAGGTCGGGTGCAACAGAGCAGGGAGCTAATTTCCTAAAGTGTACATTCGAAACAATAGTGATTTTCTCATTAATGGTGATGATTCTTTGCCGTAAATTTGGGGCATATCTATGGATGAACTTGCACTTACTGTTGTCGACGTCTTTTCCGTCTGGAATCTCTTATGACATCGTAATCGGTGCTGAGCACTGGGTCATCCGCAAGAAATCACGGTAGATCAAGTCACAGTGACGAATAGTGCCAGAACCATGTGTCGATTTGTTCAACTTCTAAGCGTTCAGTTTTCAAGCTGATTCGTTGATGCAGTTCTACGTCCCTACGTGAAATCCTAGTTTTATCCGGAATTTTATCTCCCCAATTTTCAGAAATGGAGTCTATCTGCGAGCTACAAGTGCCCTCTCCGAAACGTAGAGTGACGCTTTCAAACGCGGGTGATTCCCAGAATGGTCGACCAAGCATTGCAAGGCATCTTCCTCAGGTAATCCACGTTTTCATGAAGTGTAGAAAATCGCCTTGAGATGGGTTCACATTCATAGCTACGTTCGGAAGTTACTCGAGATGTTCCGTCGATTGTGCTGTTTCAGTCGAGCGAGTCGCCTAGAGCGAAAGTTTCTGCTTCAGTGTCCTATTCATTGGAAAATCGTCAAGAACCAACGACACTACGCCGTGCTGAGAAGAAAGAAGTTTCTGCGACAAAATCCGCGCCATCTACATCCGCTATTTTTCGACAGACGTCATTAGATTCCTGCCCCAAACTAACATCCAAGCCAGTCGTACCTACCGCATCTCTTGTAGGCTTGAATAGCTTGAGCGTGAGTGAGCAATCAGCCAACAACAGTTTCATAATCAGTAGAACGACGAGCAATGATGCAAATTGCTCATGCGAACTCTGGAGTCCTGGCTGTGGTGAAAACCCGATTCTGGCTCGCAATCGCAGCGGGCTATTGAAGGATAACCCGTATCAGGTGAGGCAAAAGGAAGTCAAACTTTTCTTAGACGTCAACTCGTAATGCCTCTTCCGTAGGATGAAACGATGAACAAAAGGAAGAGGTCAGAGCTCAATTTGGAAGAAGAAGAACCAGAAATATACATTCCACCGGAAAACCTCGTCGTTGCTCTTCACCGCAAAGTTGCATTGTTTAAGAGGCGAAACGCAGATATAATTAGAAAACTCGTCTATGCAACTATGCTCGGGGCCGTCAACGCTTATGTAATTTCTGTTCTCTGGCACCATCACGTGAAGGTTCGTATGGATGATATGAAAGGGATTCAAAAACTTTAATCTTCTGTTCGTAAAGAGGTCATTCTTGTGGTGCTGCACTCTGCTCATCTCACGTTCCCCTATGATAATTTTTTTTTTTTACTAAGAATGGGATGTATGTACATACAGTACTTGTCTCATACCACATTTCGCCATATTCATGTACATAATGTATCTAACCCATGACCCAGAAAAAATTCCAGTGTATGTTCATGCTCTAATATGGTTATTGCTTGGGTTTGGATGCTGTGTGATCCGAAAATCTTTCAGAGCATCGATTCATGCATGGGTTGTTATTTTGATGAGAAGAAACGCAAATCGCCCAACATTTGGGAAAGATCAAATCTGATTCATGCTGGAATTTGTATTCAGCATGACAACGTATAGCGGTGCTGGAGATCATGGCTGTGCTCATCTCGAAGGTGCGCTTTCATGGTTTTCTGTTCTACGAAGCATGTTCTGTTAGTAGTGACAATGCCATGATAATTGTATATACTGTTGGAACGAGGCAATCTTCAGTTTGAGGGATTCTTGAATTCGTCCTTCCGTGAATGTTTTAACGAGTCGATAGAATGATGGGGTCCTCCTTGTCAAAGCTACCCTGCGATGCTGTTGTCTTAACTTCTCATTTTTATTCTTTGAAGTTTGTGAGATTGCTGTATGCCGACCCTGCGCATTGTTTGAAATACAAAGCATATAAGTGAAGTTACGTTTTAAATAACTTTCTATGGATTTAAATAAATGTCATCAACTTTAATTCCGTCAGGGTGGTTGGGACAAGGAAAACTCCAATAAGCGTATTGGTTGATCATCGTTTAATCTCGAGTGTCGTATATGTGCTGACGAATTGAAAACGCTTCGAGAAAGAAAGTCTATTGAAGGATATCCCTAATTCAGGGTGACGTTGACTACTACAGTATTTTTGGATTGCAAATCTCTACCCACTATTGTGAGCGCGCCGAGAGCCGCTAAATATCAATCGTATTTCCGAAATCACACTTCGAATTGTGGGATTATTTTTCTCAGGACTCTGGGGGTATGAGTTTATGCGATGGTCCCGGTCTTCTGTTGGTATCTCTGGTAACTTTTTACGTCGTAATGAGCTTTCGTCATCTGGTCAAACCACTACTGGGGAAGTTGCTGTTCGTGGTAGTTCGTCGCTGGGCACCATGTCTTCAGCGGACGCAACGATTGGTTGACAACGAGTCAGTGCTAGGAACGTCTGCAAAACCTTCGTATTCTCATCATTCGATTATTTATTTCAGGTATTCCCGCGCCGGATTTCACGTATTCCTATTATTAGGAGTGACTGTCGGCTTTTTAGCACATGCAGAAGGATCTTTCGAAAGACTACGTTCGGGATTTGGATTTATTGTGGTCATGTGCATGGCAGTTCTATTATCCTCTTCTCCAGCAAAGGTAAAGCGGCTGTACTGCTTTATTAGTTTTAGTTCCTTGTAATCTAACCACAGAGCATTGGGAGGGATTAACCATGAGTAAAACTTCACAATGCATCATGCCATTTATTTTTGTTGATACTCTTGGAAAGAAAACACTGATAAATCAAATCTTCACCATTTAAAGGTAGATTAGATCGAAGTAATTCTTTTCTGAATTATTGTATCTGAGTTAGTGGTTCCTGATGGTCCCTGGTGTGGGTAACATGGTGCTGGTCACAATCCCTCTGTTTGCTGTGTACTTTTTGATTATTGCACTGCTGTCTTGTTTGTGCAGATCGAATGGAGCTTGGCTGTGCGAGGGGTTGTGATGCAAATGCTGGTTGCCGTTTCAGTAGCTCATGTCCCGCTTTTCCGTGATACAGTGGAGTGTTTAGGTGGAAAAGTTGATGAATTTCTGCAGTCGTCCAAGACTGGGCTGGCAAAAGCATACGGGCCCTATGGCGGTGGTGTTTTCTCGACTCCATTACATTCTTCTATGATCAACGGAAATTATTCTCAAAAGATGCCAACTGTGGAAATAGCGTTTGAAGTTCGGCAGCAAGTATATGCTTTCCATGTGAGTGTTGAAATCTTGTCGAAGTTCATTTTGTGCAGTCCGTATGCATTTTGTCAGGTTTTATCAAAACTGTACCTGACGGTTTTTTGTATGGAATTGCTTCGTCATTATGGAGTATTACGATGGTTGTTGATTCATCTGGACTCACCTGGCTCAACAATTCTGAAGTTATCGTCTGTTGAATTTGCTGGGTTGGCGTTAAATACATTTGGCGGAAGTGTGAGTTTATTTCTTACATACTATCGCGTTGGAAGGAAAATAATTTTTGACGTCATTGGCTGTGTGTGGTAGTATAACTAGAATTAGAAAGCACCCTTGATAGGGCATCTTTCTGTGGGGATTTCAAAATGCAAATTTTTTCATTATTTTTAGCTAACTGCTGTACTTGGTTTAAGAACTTACTGGAACAAGATAACGCACTCTGAGGCTCACGTAGTTCTTTTGGCTGTATTTGCAACGGCTTCAGGTACGATCATGTTCCATATTTCTTTTTAATTCTATATCAATTCAGTCCTTTGTGTCTTTCATGAATTATTCATCTGATGACTTTTGCAGGTGGGACTATTCTAGTCACTGACTTGAGCAAAGCAAGTTTTGGGCGTGTTTTATTGATGAGTTTGTTGACCTTACCAGCTGTCATTTTGATATCCAAATTGGTATTTCCTGAAATAAAACACAAGGTATTCTACCAAAAGCGGAATATGTTATTGAGGGAAGACGTCTGCGGGTGAGTTGACCTGGATTACATTTTGTGTTCACAATTATTGTGCAGTAGTCCTGATCTGGACTACGAGTTATTCAATTTTAACTACCACGTTCCCCGAGAAATTTAAAGAGGTTTAAAGCAGTACAGATATTAGTTTTTCCTGTGAACTTTGATCGTTCTCATTGGATACAGTTGTCTTATTTTACTTCATTAAAATTGTATACCGAAACTGTATTATAATTTTAAAATACAGTATGTTGAATACTAGAGTGTGATGTGATATCACTTCATAAGTTCAGAGAACCAATGGCTATTTTACAAGGTTGTATTATCAATTGTAAGTCAACGGTTATTCCATTTAAATGGAAGTTTTGTTGATTGTCATCTTTCCCTGGCAGATACTGTCAAAGAAATACTGTGCTGTTCCAAGAACAAGAGCCGAGAAAGAGGTTTTTATTTTGGGCGTCTTCTTGGAATTTCGATTTTGCAGGGACATGCATTGAATGAATCGGCTATGGCTTCCAATTCCATTCATTTTTGTTTAAGTTTATTCGGAGGTATTCAGACGGGTTGCTAGCTCTGCTACTTGAACTTGTTTTCATGGGAGTGTCTGGGACAGTGTTGTTGAAAATTCAATGACAATACAGTCGTATTTTTTAGGAAATGCGTTATCATGTGATTAAGGTTGCAGTTCTGCAGTAGTGAACGATCGTCACCCTCCTCCATCTTGAAGAATTTTATCATCTGATTTGTCAAGAATGAGATGGGAGCCATCTGTAATTTGCGCCCCCTCCCCTTGAGCAAGAAAATGCTTGCTACTGCTATTAGTCTATATATACAGTATTTGTGATTGGAATTTCTGTGAAATCTCATGTTCTTTTGCTTCAGTCTCGATTGCAGGAATTGGCTGGATGCCGGTTCACGTGGATCGTCACTTGCAGCTGAGATTGTCATCACACTTGTGTCAACTATTGTTTCTTTTTCTGCTCTGCTGAGCCTGATTAATGGCGTGGTGGAAGTTCACCTTAGATACCTTGGCTATCCTGGCAGTAATCTTGTGGTAAGCTCTTCTGCAGTGTGTTTTTCTTTGGAAAACGGAACACATTCATTTGCTAGTGAATTTTATAAATTTCAGACCCTGGCAACTCCGGGATTTCTTCCTTTTGTTTGGCTCACTGGGGTGAACAGAGCGGAATGTTGGTCTGTGGCTGAACTTCTGGCGCGGCGGAGCTTTGAAAATGTTTCGTTGGAAATTGTTACGTGGAAAGATTTGATGACCTCTGCATATTTATCTGCAAGTTTTACAGTATACTGTACTATTATTGTGAATATCTTTGTACCTTAATTCACGTGATGCTTGTGTTTCACTTCAGAGTCGTTCAGCGAAGATTGCCAGTGTGATGCTGATGGGAAGCACAAATGCTCTGACAGTAGCTGTGGTTCTCAGCTGTCTAGTGGTCTTGATACCCGAGTCAAGGCGAGCACACGTACCGCTTATTTTTCGGGCTTATTTTGCTGCATTTATGGCAAATGTTGTTGCGGGAGCATCATTTGGTAAAAATTCCATTCAATCTCAACATTTTGGAAGAGAATCTTGAATACGTAGATTTTTCAGATAAGCATTAGTACTGTAATCTTCAAAAATTGCATCTTTTCAGCAATTCCTTCCTTTAATATTTTTACTATGCGACATATTTCCTAAGATTTCTATGTTACAAGTTTGATCATGCAATGGTTACTGTATTGTAAATTAGTGTTCAACAGTTTTTACATTTTATTCTCCTACTGCGTTGTATTTTCTCTACAAAATTTAAGTTGGAATTCGTCTGATTTAGTGGAACTTATTGAAAAACCAAATTTACATCTTTCAAATCCTGTATTGCAGGTATGGTGCTTGAATCCTGATGGTGAAAACAAGGGTTTTCCAATCAACTTTTACCTGCACAATGATGTTTGATGCGTCGAGTAAATCGGTTTCACACGTTCATAATTTGATACTTAGTTCATTGCATGACATTCGGAAAAGACTGTTCATAACCTTTGTGTATCCTAATTGATGCGTAATCATTCATGTTATTAGTGCATGTGTTCAATAATTTTTGGGTGAACATTTGTGCAATATGATTTCTCGCCTATTTGTTGGTTTTTATGTCGTAGTTATGTGATTAACATGTTTGTCTTTAATTGTTGAAAATAATGCCAAAATAAATGTGCATGGTGATGTACTACACAATTCGACGTCTAATGCTTTATTCACTTGAACTGACGTTCATATTCTTTTTGGCAAAACTTCAACTTGCTAATCAGAAAACTATTTCCAAAAACTAAAGGAATGTATTTGTGCTGTACCCTCATGGAAGGACAAGTTCATTTCATGTTCAAAAATTACAGTTGTAAATAGATGAATAATGTTACATGATCTTCAAAATGGGGGGGGGGGGGGGGGGGGGGGAAGAAAGNNNNGGGGTGGGGGGGTGGGGGGGGGGGGGGGGGGGGGGGGGGTGAGAACAGGCACAAAAAATCATCAAAACAAAAATAGCACTTCATGCACACAGCAAATGCCATAGGAAAATTCCTTTTCACTCCGTAGTGAGTTCCCGGAAGTTCAGAATTCTCTCTTGCAATTCGTCGATCAGCAACTTGAATGGTGCCGTTATTTCACACATGGCTTTTTCGAACTTGAAAGCAAGAAAAACACGTCACATTTCTGGAAATATATCAATCAAACGGTCTGCACCTTCATATCTTCTATTGTGCTGAATTCCAAAAAGTGTTCGGTGATTTCTGCTAGTCTTCTAGCTTTTGCAGACACTTCCTTGATGCTCATCTGGTAATCAGCATTTAATTTTGCGAACTGCTTTCGATAATCAACGATGTGGATTCTTGATGGCTTGAGGTAATCCCTGTCATTCATCCAAAAATAATACGTCTAGAATACGTCTAATAAAGGCTGAGATGAGAAAACAAAAAATATCACCTATGAAAATCTTCACACTGCTTCTCGATCTCGCTCAATTCACAATCAACATTTGCCCGTTCTTTGGCTAATTCTTTATTCATCCTGATTAATTCTTGTTTCACCCTTGCTTGCTCTTCCTGCACTTTGCCCAGTTCTGCCAAAATCGCTGCTAGATTTTTCTGGAAGGTTTCCTCTTCAACGGTCAACAAACTGAAACGTAAAAGGATTGGTCCAAATACAGTAACAATTCATCAAAAAGGTGGAAAAAAATGCATACGGTACACTTTAGTTCATCAATATCTCTAGCCGATTCAATCAAAAAACATCACAGTGAGCTCAAAATGCAAGCTGATTTATCTACCTTACAGTACAATAACAAAATCTGGGTAAATAATTTTTTTTGAGGGTTCACCCATTATATTTACGAACTCTTTTTCGCTCCTCGCCTCATGGACTGATTTAATGAGTGAGATGGCAGCTTCAGCCAGTGCTACAGCGTTCTGAGTAACCCCAATCTCATCAACCAAATGGGCCGTTTCTTGAGAAATGGTTTCGTGCTGCAGCTCTTTCTCCTGACACTGTTTACGGAGAAAAGCAACTTCTGCTTCCAGCTCTTCTGGTGAGGACACACACTGTTCCTCAAGCTTATCAGTGAGCCCTAATTCCTACAAAAATGATCTGAAATTAAGCCCGGAGAAACTCTCACAAGGGAATGCGGGAAATAAAACTCACATTGCTCAGTTTTTCCTCGATGAGTTCCAAATCTTTTGCAAGTTTAGCATTTTGTTTCTCCGCGCTTTTGAGAGTAGCCTGTTTTTGACTCAGTTCATCTTCTAATGATACCAGAATTGAACGAATCTCGGTTGCTTCCTTCATTTTCTGTTCGGAAGGCAGAGGCAAAAAATGTGCAGATTTTATAAAAAAAACAGTTTTTAATCGCACACTCACTTGAGCATTGTCATTCTTCTTCTCTTCTGTGGAAAGGACCAGGTCACTGTATTGCGATTTGTACTGTTCGATCACTGTCAGTGTCTTCACAATCCGCTCTCTCCGACCCTCCAAGCTTTGTTGAACTGCAGTCACATGCTTCATACGATCCAAGTAGAATGAAACAAAGTTTGCCAGGTTCCCAATATAGTTGACAGTTTTCTGTTTGGCTGAAAATGGGTTTTATGAAAATTAATGTCCCTGTGCATTGTTTAGGAAAAGTCACAAAACAGTTGTAATTCGGTACGTTCAAATGATTAACAAGCAGGAGCTTGGATTCAATTCTTCCTCCGCCCATAAACAAAGCGAATAAATTCAACATTCCTAGATTTCAATAGCAATTACAATAAATTGTCATGTTCACAAGGCATGATCTAAAATAAACAAAAGTTAGACACCAGACGACTTGAGCTTTCTTCAAAGCTAAGTAACTTGCACACCCTACATGATAGGCTATTGAAAATTACTGACTTGGATTAAGCAAATCCACGAGAGCCATGTCATGGAAACCGAAGTTCATAGGCAGATCCACGAAGAATCCCTTCAACAGGCCACAGATGTTTATGGGCACGGTCAAGGCAAATGAATCGCCGTATCTCGGGAATTGGCTCTGTGGAACACGATTGAAGTCCACCTGGTCTCCGAAGATTTTGCATATAAGTTTCCTGTACAGAATCTGCACACGGCCTGCTTGCGGTTCACGCAGGTCCTTCACCGTGATTCTTTCTTCGGGCAAAAGAAAGTTGAGGTCTGCGACCAGGTCTGGGATTTTAAATTTACACCTGAGCGAAGGCGCACTCATACCTCAAATAGCTCTCTCTCTCTCCTGCAAATCACAACTTGAGGAAGTCGGTATGTTAGCAAAGTAATCAATGTTAAAAGTTAAGTAATTTCAACCACGTGAGGAAATTGAACAGACAGTCACAGTGAAACTTCGCGTAGCATCAACCATCATCCTTGGTTATTGGTTGGACGCAAGAGAATTTCCCGCGCTGAATTTCTAGACGTTTTGCCGTACGAACGGTAATGGGGGCCGATTCACCACTCAAATACCATCTGTGAACTTGAAAAATAGGTGTCGCTGTACTTCACTTTGTAATACTGTACTGTATCTGTATACACAGTACAGTACTGTAATTTTTATTTGCTTCAGACAGGTTTTGGAGGAAAACTGAGAAAAGAAGTTTTGCAGATAATCATCTTTAAGGGAAAAGACGGCATGTGCCGCTACAGGTTTCTATCAAATACTGGGCTTGAAAACCGTCGAGTCAGGGGCATGTTCGTTTCGAGGGTTCATTGTTATTCAATCATTGACATCATGAACAATCCGAAACTCTTCAAGAGTAGTAACTTTGCTAAATGACTGTGCCGATGTGTTGTGATCCGAGCCGATTTTGAAGCCTCGCCCTGAGGTTGCTCTGTTCTCTCAGTTGCCGGTTTCAGCCGTGATTCATAATTCTTTTGAGAAGATTCGTTCGTGAGCTGACTCGTGCGAACATTGATCACCAAAGGATCGTCGGAGAGCAGGTAGAATCTGCGAAGGAAATTCAAGACTTCTGCGTTATTCCAGTTCACTTCCGGAAGCTCGGTTTCTGGATCCTCTTCTGGTTCATCATCTGACCGAGACTCGTGTCGACAAGACTCGCACATATCCGAAGGTGGAAACTGAAGTTTTGGATTCTCGGGATCTTCATTGACGTCACCTTTTAGCCTCCAATTTACCTGTAGCAAAGGTTTGTGGAATTTTTTAACAAGTTTAAAGTGCATCTCCAAGTAGAGTAGTCCCGAATATTTTCTCCGGCCTATGTTCAGAGATTGTACCATGTGGTTCGGTCATTCCCAAAGATATGCTGCATTCATGGAGTGGTCAAATTTTGAGTTATCACCGAAGACACTACCTTATCTCCGTTTTCTTTAAGGTGCATTAACATTTCGCAACGTGAGAACATCCAAAAGAAGGTTAGGAAGGAGAAACGTGATGTTTTAGCACGGCTACTGCTTAAAAGTCATGTTGTTCATGTCTGCAACTATTCACAAGAATACAATACTTCAACGTACAGTACTGAAGAAAAGCATGCAATAGTGTACGAATTTCGAAAAAAAAAAACAGGAGAGATTTACAATTGATGGAAAAGTGAATGGTCGTGGTGCTGCAGATCCTTGGCGTGCTTCTCTTCTGCTTATTTCGTCCTGCTTTTCTTGCTTCACCGTTTATTCCATTTCGAGCTTCTCATAAACATGAATTTAACAATGCTTTAGGGATTTAGGTAAGTTATTCAGTATTGAATGTTCATAACGGTGATATCTATAACGTATTTGAAAAACGGAACTCGAATTTCACGTTACGAGATGATATTTCATCATTGACTAACTCACGCGGTTGTGAGCTTTCCACAGCCACAACACTGCCGCAGTCTTATTCCTTATGTGAAACATGTTGAATTTCTCGGCCATGTCATCGAAATGTTTCTTGCAATAATCGCATCCGAAGAAATTCATAATATAACCGTGAATTGATGTCAAAATCGAATGTGGTTCTCCTTCTTGGTCGTCGTGCGCTTCCATAATAATTGTGTGAAAGAGCATCCATAATCCGCAAGGGTATCCCCTGTACTTGGGATCGCTTCCACGACACCCCAAAAATTCACCTCGACTCGGTACATGCCTGTCGTTCCTATATGGATATCATGAAGCATGTTGAACGTTAATCAAACGCTGTTTTGTTTATACTTGCTGTTCGTTCAAGTAAATCAAAAACTTGTCCCAAGCTCTCTCGGTAATGTGTCCATCATTAGCTTCCAGCCAAGTTGCAATGCTTTCAAGGGCATCGACGGTTTTCGGCTTCCCGGGATAGTGTTTGTGAAGGACTTGAATGAAGTTTAGCAGTGCGTTTGTCTTTTCTTTGTCCATAGCCCCAATGCTGAGCGTGATTTCCTGTCGCAACAGGTGCCCCAAAGTGCTGTCCAGGTCCTTCAAATATACTTTTCGTTGTTTTCTTCTTATAGATGTTTTAGGATGTGTTGGGATCTTTTCATGTTGTAGCTCTAAGTCTTCCATGAGTATTCTGTTCTCGAGCGGGAGTAAGTGCTGTAAACAATTACGGAAGAATTTCTTCAGTTTTGGGTGGCTTCCATTTTTCAATCCATTATTTTCATTTGCCGAAAACGCTGCGCTTTAAAATGCTGGTACGGCCTTTGCGCGAATATTTCGAGTATGGGCTCTGTCTTCAAAAATGCAACAGACGAATTATTCAAGTGGGGCTACTTATTTCTTATGACTACGATTCGGAAGCCGGTACGATTTTTGAAGTTTGGAGTGATGACAAAGGAATTCTGTTGGCAACCTGTTGAGGTTTCTTCGAAAGCAAAATAACCTTTTATTTGTGAGAAAATACTGTGGAGGCTTGAACTTCGGAAAGCAAATTTCTTCGCTGATATTCTCCGTGGTTAGACGCATTTTCCTTCCACATTTAAACCCCCATCTCCCTTGGAGTATTTTGACTGATCCGAGTTACTAACAATAGACGCAGAGATGCGGTGTTCTCACTTTTGTCTGAATTGGCAAATTGAGGGTATGCGAGAATCTCCACAACTGATCGATGACAGCAGGAGCAGGAATTGTTTTGTCTCCCAATATCAGAACCTGACAATCAGTGTCTGTGGCGCAAATGACCACCGATGGCACGTAAACCCCGTAAACGTCCGCGAGTGGATCATTGGTGGTGATCCGATGCACACACAATCCGAAAAATCTGGTTGCACTCATGATCGTGTGTTGAGCCATGAATTCTGCACCGGTCGAACCGCCATCAGGATCAGACGGGGACTCGAAAAATAAGATCCGATTTCTGCATTCGGACGACATCGCTTCTGCGCCGCTGTGAACAACCCTTGGTCTTCACCTTAATCCCTCCGTTGGAAACAAATTGACGATAATAATTCTAAGGCAGTTTACTCGATTTAAATACGCTTGTTTGATAAAAGATGTTACACATATAGAACTGATGGATCCACCACGTCCATGCTACTCCCTGAAAGGAAAAAGATGTGTAGCGGAATCTGTTTGAGTTTACCGAAAAAGTTCCTTCGCGCACTTTTGAAAATCTTATACAGTGTCAAGATATGATTGTTTTTTAGTAGTTTTTTGCGCATAGCTCGAACATCTTGATGAACCCAGTTATGTTACAAAGCGTCGGTGACAATTTAGTCTAACCTCTGCAAGTCAAACTTCAAGCGATCAGCAAAATATTCGAGTTGAGGAGGTTTTGTTTTAGGGAAACAATCATTTGTATTGTAGACATAAAGTTTTACAGGGAATTTCAATTGGTGATATTCTAGGACTTGAATTGCTTTATAAATGAGTTGACAGGATGCTGAATTCGGAGACAAGGGTTCATTTGCCCAAGTAGTCTTTCACACTTCTTTTCAAAATTCATCAGGTTACATTTTATTTGATTTTCTTTTTCCTATATCAATACAATAGCCGAAAAGACTTCCAGAAAACTTGAGTTATAAAGGTACAGTATTAGGGAAAGTCTTTAATTCAGGTAGGTTTTTAATGCATGGTTTCTGAGGGTCAAAGACTTGAAAAAAAAAATCCAAGTAAGGAGTTTCCGTACTGTATTTGACCTAGGAATGAAGTTCTCGAAGTTCAATTGTAGTACAATGTATGAGTTGTGTCCTGCATTCTGTGTCTGTAACAGAACAAAGCATCGAAAACCGACGAGGAACATTGGATCAGAAGCGTTGGGAGAATGTGCTTTGTTATACAGTACTGCATAATGTATTAGGATTATATTGTCTCTGAGTGGAGTGAACGTGTGGGGGAAGTACCAGAATTATAGGTTCAGTATACAGCATTAATACAGTGATGAAAGAAAACCAAAGGTTAAGGTTGGAATTTGTGTTCAAATGCAATATAGTATGCTGAAAGGTTCGGAGAGTACGCGGTTTCTGAGGCATATCATGGCCTCTTGTCTCTTGACGTTACGTTTTCTGTTCTTAGCTGTGCGCTGAGGCCCAATTAAGCCCTGGCTTAGTTTTTGCTGGCGTATCTTCTTTTAGTTAATGCAGTGAATCTCATTGTAACGAATAATTGTTTTTAGGTCCCTGTCCAATAGCCACAACATTGAATGAGGTACGTTATAAATATTTTTTTTTTATTAAGAAGCTGGTTTACTGGTTTCAATGGCTTCTTTGGAGAAGTTTTTTCTCTAAATGGTTTCAATAATCAATTTTACCTACCTGTTGGGAAACGCATGCAGAAGAAAATACCACTATCTTCATTTCATCTGTCGGTGTGGCACGAGGGAATCAGAGAATATGCTGTAATACATGAGGTTCTATATGGTCATTGAACATTCTGATATGTTATACGAATCCTCTTCACGCAACGCGAGTTTTTATGAGTTCAATTTGTGAACCATACGTACCAAACGCGGCGATACAAATCATTCGAATTGAGTATTTTTTGTATTTTGAAACCACGTGTCTGAATTGTGGTAGTTCTACCCGGAAAGACTATACCGGATCCATGAAAAACACACCTCGTCAGGCCTAGATGTGGAAAATCGCTGCGGTTGTGTTTCTGCCTAACTTGGGATACGTAGTTCATGATGCGGTACAAGATGGCCAGCTTCGTACTGCCGGGTGCCTCGGGAAATTTTTCTCCCTGATAGTTTTGGTTATCAAGTCCCGGCGGGAAGAATCGTATTTCCGGGTACGCGTGAGCACCGTACTTCCGACACGCTTGTACATTCATTTCGTGCGCGCAGTCTATTGCCCCCATGCGAATAATCCGCTTCCAACCTGCAGACGAAATAACGAGAAGGCCGGCTGTATGGTCACGGTAGTATACAAATGAAAGTGGTCCGAATTGGTCCATGTACCCATTGCAAGGTCGGAACGTTCTGTGAAATTTTGGGCGTAATCTACCTAATCGAAGTCCGGCCCTTCATTGAATTACTGAGGTGAAATTTTCATTGAAAATGCAGTGCGCGCTTTCGTCTGCGAGGGATTAACTTATCCATAGACGTCCAAGAGTCGTTTCGAGCTCTTCAGCATTTACAATTTAATTGATTAAACAGTACTTTGTGAAGGATGGAATTTGTGTTCAAATGCAATATTTTATGCTGAAAAGTTCGAACAGTACGCAGTATCTAAGGTTTATCATGGTCTCTTGACGTGTGTGGAACGAATTAAAAAAACCATGATGTGATCTGAAGGGAAATCGCATTTAGCAAAACGAAAATCCACATAACGAAATACATCCAGAAACGGATTAGTTTCATGATGCTATTTCCCTGTAAAGGGAATAGTGATTTGGTCTTAAATTGCTTTACAGTAGTTGGTGTTCTGAAAATTTCAGCTACACCAAGGCGTAAAACAAGAATGAACTTTGTGGAGCATGAAAATAATTGTTCGAAAATTCTGAAGCGTGAAATTAAATCGTATATAATTCTGCATATTGCGGATTTCATCGATTGGCCAACCTTCTGTTATCGTGGCGATTTGTTTCCAAAAAGGAGCAAACTTGCGACATTGTCCGCACCAACTCGAGAAAAATTCGACGACCCAAGCTGTTGGACTGTTGGTCAAATGTTGTTCAATGTTCGAGCCGTTGAAGGTGGTAATTGCCTCGTGTTTATAAACCACTGCAGGTTCTATTCGAGACACTTCCACGTTCACCCCACTTCCGGAAGCTAAAGAACAGAATACTGAAGAGAATAAGAAGAAAAGGGAGCAAGTGCGCATCGTTCCTAAATTTCAATAACTATTCTCACAAAAATTGTGAGGCGATGATATATTCGTCCCTCAGAGAAGGTAAAACCTGTTCAACAGGTGTGCCTTTTTATTGCCTCACATCTAACACGACATTCCCCTGTAGCGCAAGGAACGGAGACCTATGTAAAACCCAGCTAAAACATTTTTCCTTCCGGTCGATCGTAAGAAGGGTATGAACGATTTCCCCATCATTTGAAATCTGCCTCGAGGGAACTCGAGTCGATTTTCACGAGTTTTCCGGAAAATCTCGTCAACTTGCCTAAATCCCCCCAAACCGCGCCGCGAACGAGCACAGTTTTCACAGCATCGCCAGTCTCCAGATGGGTCATGAAAGTGCTTCCGTAAACGCCAATCGCGAAAGAAAAAGATCGAGCCAGGATAGTTGAGTCGTTTTTGTACACGTAGATGTCAGAGGCGGTTTCCTCGTTGTTCCACGCTTGGAAGGAGAATTCGTAAACGCCTGAGACGGGCGCTCGAAAGCTTCCTGAAAAAAAATAAAATAAAAATTTGAGGTGTTTTGTTTCTTTGGAACGTTGTCGAGTGGCAGTACTCGCACAGTAATACCTAATCTGATGAGGCTCATAGTTTTTGTTCTGTCCCTGCATAAACTGCCAAAATTCAAAACCCCTTCAAGCATTATTTCTCGTATGTTCTTCGCAACATATCTTGTGCCTCATTTTTAATTATCTGACATTTCTGCGCAATTTCCTTATTTAATTACGGCGTATGAATAATATTCGTCGAAACTCGTCTAATGATGGATTGACAAGGGAAATAGACTGCGTTGTTTCATCCATTCACCCACGAGATTTCCAAGTGCCCACATGGACAAGAAGTGTAACAGTTCTAACATACTGCAACAATTACAAATTTACTCTAGCATGATATCGGAAGTCCACACAAATCTATCTAAGAAGCATTGCCTATGTTACTTTTTGGATGAAACGTGACCTCTTACGATTCTAGATTTACGAAGAAGAATTCATCGTACCTTGTGAACCCCGCAAAAGTTGAATTTGTTATTTGTGTAAGATGCGCGGAAACTTTTGTGTTTCGAAATTCTAGCGAAAAACACAATTCGCGTCGTACAATCCAGAATACAGTAGGTGTATCATTTCAAGTACAGTACCAAACCTCACTAGTCATTTACCTTCGTCAGCATCAAACGCATCTCCAACGTTTATGTTGACGACGTTGTAGAGAATCGGACCATGAATAAACTGATGGGTGTTCAGAACTGCGTCAAATATGACGTCTGGTGTTGGTTTGCACTTCGTTACATCTTCTCTCTCCTTCTTTGCTGAAGTGGGTTCCAAGAAAATTCCAGTTCGACGTTCGAACTGAGCGTGGGATGGTTCTAATTGCGGATTGCAGAAAACTAGTTCCGTTCTCCGCTCTTTAAGGTCAGTTGGGTCAACCAAATAGTAGCCAGGATTCAGGTGACCATCCTCTCGTACATCCGTGCAAGATGTGACGGAATTTTTGGCTGGAACGCTTTTCTGATACCCGGAGCAACGCAGTGGTCCGAGCGTGAAGTGTGCCTTCTGAATAAATTGTGAACATTTTTAATTTGAGTCTACTTCTAATCAACTGTGGAGAGTCTGAAAAATTACTTTACCTACGAGAAGTCAGCTTCGAAGACATCAAATCTTGGTAGAACGCATACATACCGTACATTTAACGAAATTGGTAATAACATAAACCGTGTTTGAAGTAATGCTTAAAGCATGAAATAATGACCGAAAAACGTATCCTTGTTTTTTTGAAACTTGGCCCGAATGAAGATAATTTTAGTATCCATATTTCAAGTATGCAGTCTAAATTGCAGTTTTAATTTTGCACGCGTGTGACTGGGGCTATTATTTTAGCAGGTACAAATAATTCCGGAGTTTAGACAGCGCCAAGTCTGGATTTTGCCGTTCATTCTACCCTTGACAAAAATCGAGCTAAACTTACTCAATTCACTCTACAGAAAACATCCTGAGAATGAGATCTAATGAATAATTAAGCAAAAAGCTTTAAAACTTGTCCCATGTTTGGAAAACATTGTGATTTCTTTCTTGACCCCAAGAAGGTCAAAACGATTTCGTACCTGCGATGAGAATTTGAGCCCCTTGAACACTAGCTGGGTAACGGGAAGTGCTGTTTTGTTGCTAATTGTGCCATGATCTTTTTGCCATTCCGGCGCTCGAGAATCGCAGTTACACTTCTTTTCGATGTCAATACAGTCTCCCTGTTGCGAGCACGTGCAAGGTTTTTCGGCATCGGTCCCCGTTCCATGAAAGTACACTTGCTTTTGTCCAAACCTATCAATCCACCACGCAGTCGTGGACATATCTTTGTTGTGCAGAGGTGCTCCGAAGCAGTGATACTGAAAAAAAGGAAAGCCGGAAGATGGATCCAGTCTAGATTCTAGAAGATCCGTATTTTCATCTATAATAATAAAGTTGCTATCTATAATAATAAAGTTGCTTCGCAGATGGGCACCTATGGGCAGATTTTTTTTAGAAATCGTTTCCTTTTTTTATTCATAACTTACTCAATTTTTAACTTCTTTCAGCCAAAAAAAATTCAAAATTTGCAGAATTTCATCAAGCATCCAACAGAAATTTTAAAATTGAAATTGCTCCAAAAAATAAAATATTATGATGAGTTAAACTTGAAAGTCCAAAACTTTTTGTTTTCCAACCTTCTCAATACACAAATTCACCATATGATTTCTATTCAACAAAACTCAACCTTTTTTATTGAAGTTCTGCACAATTTCCCATTTCCAACTTTGAAAAATTCCAAAAATTGACTGAGATATAAGCAAAAATGTGGACCTTTTCCAAAAAATTGAGTGAAAAATGGGAAAAATTCCTTTTTACATCTCAATTTTTAACTGATCAAATTTTCTGATGAAAACCCCATGCCATTGCAAATAAAGCTGCACAAAATTTGTGAATTCCAGCAAAATGAAAAAAATTAATTTTTTAGTTCTTCCAGCCAAAAAATTCCAAATTTCCAGAATTTCACTGAGTATGT